AACTAAAATCTATTATGAAAATCCCAGGTAGTATAAACTATACATAACCAAATTTGAAAAATTATATTTATACACAGAGTTTCATTACCCATATAAATAGAAATTCCTTTCACTCCTACAGTGTGATTTATAATTTCCTTGCCCTCTTCCTCAGGCATAGAAGGTCATTTGTGGCCATAAGGACTAGGTAGATGCTGGTGGACATGTCAGAAGAGCAGCAAGCCAGTGGCAATTGAAGTTCAAGGTGGCGGCCAACCAGGAGAAAAATCCCTGATGGGTAAATCTAGGATACTGCCTCTAATGTAGTGTGTTTATCTCACGGAAATATTCCATTCCACTGACATTTTTACCTTGAATTATTATGAAGATGATTTCTTCCTAAGATGTACTGTCTAACTGATAATAGTAATGCTAGTTTAAATAGAGTTTTGATGATTAAAAATATAAACAAGGAAGTGTCATACAGCTAGAGCATATGAGTTTCTATTGAGTTGTGTAGACTGTGGCTTTGGTTAATGATTAAGAAACACGATTGAGTCCCAGTAGCCCAACTAGTTTAAACTCTTCTGATGTTCATGTTGGGAGATGTGTTCAAAGGTTGTGGAGTGCATCACAGCTGAAACGAAGCTTTGACAATAACTTAAAATTAGACTACGACATTTTGGCACATATCTTTGAGGTGAAAAACCCAAGACAATCTCAAGTTTTAGAAAGGCACATAGTTGAGTGGGAACTCTTTAAAGTCAGAGAACAAGAACAAAGCAGCCCAATTATCGTTAGCTGATGTGCCTTTCTTGCTAGGATTAGTTGATGACCAAAGGTGATGGTTGATTCCTTGTACCCATTTCTGCCCTCAATCTCCTGGTATTAAAAAAAAAAAAACTATTAACGAGTGGGTATGCATCCTAAAGATTTATAGTAGAGCTGATTGATTGTTTTTCATGTATAAAAGTTTAGGTTTGTGCCTTTTCTGGTGGCAGCGCCGCGCGGTGAGGACCTCGTGTTCATACTCGCAGCTATGCCGGCCAAGGGTCCTCTGCAGTCCGTGCAAGTCTTCGGACGCAAGAAGACAGCCACAGCCGTGGCGCACTGCAAACGGGGGAATGGGCTCATCGAGGTGAACGGATGTCCCCTGGAGATGATCGAGCCACGCACGCTGCAGTACAAGTTACTGGAGCCTGTTCTGCTGCTGGGCAAGGAGCGATTCGCGGGTGTGGATATCCGGGTCCGTGTGAAGGGTGGTGGTCATGTGGCCCAAATTTATGCTATCCGACAGTCCATCTCCAAAGCCCTGGTGGCCTACTACCAAAAGTATGTGGATGAGGCCTCTAAGAAGGAGATCAAAGATATCCTCATCCAGTATGATCGGACCCTGCTTGTAGCTGATCCTCGGCGCTGTGAATCCAAAAAGTTCGGAGGTCCTGGTGCCCGTGCTCGATACCAGAAATCCTACCGATAAGCCCAACTCAAGGATCAGGGTTTACCTTTGTAATAAACATCCTAGGGTTTTAATGTTAAAAAAAAAAAGTTTAGGTTTGTGATTCCTTTAAGCTTCCTTACGTTCCAGATAAGTAATAAAGTGATTGGTCCTTTCTTTGTAACCACAAAATACAGTCTACCAGTAAAAGAACACTTTGATTGCTCACAGTCTGTTAATCTATAACAAGGTGCTTGGGGATGAATGTATGTGGGTTCTTGGGATAATTCGTTTTTCACCTGTAATACGTAAAATGTAAAATGTTTATTCGTGTTTGGGAAATGGGAAGCATGTTGTTTCCTACTTGTATTCACTGTAATCATTCACTGGGAAAATAGAATGTAACCACACTGTAATTTCTATATGGCCTGGAAGATATAAGCTGTAAGGGAAAGAATAAAGACAGAATTAGAAGGAGTTAGAAAAAAACATCAGGAATGAGAGAATTAGGAGGAGAACATCACGAGAGAAGAAATACATCGCGAGAGATAGGAGGGACATTTCTGGAGAAAGGAGAAAGGAGAATAAAGAAGAACAAAGAAAGACACCATCAAGAGCATGTGTCAGTGTCTTTCCACTAAGCCCCTCACAGACTCCATGAATTTCCCTTTGAGCCCTGCGCTGCTGGAGGCTGGCCCCAGGCAGCAAAAGGTAGACAAGAGGATTCACTGACCACAACAGGAATATCTCTGTCTCCCCAACTTACTTTTTTGTTAATTGGAGAATTATGAATATAAGCCCAGTAAGCATGTTTAGTCCCTGTTATCACAGACAGCATAGCAAGGAACAAAATTGTCACATTCCAAGGTTTCCTAGCCAGCCAAATTACCGCATCTCCTTCAGTCAATTTCTTAAGCTGTCCCCATGTAGGAAAATCAGCTGTCTGCTTTAAGGACTTTCTGTATCTCTTTCTTCCACAACTTTCCACTCCTGCAGAAACATAAGCATACCCTCGGCCCCATCTTCTGGTTGTCATTCTGCTGTTAAAGCATCCGTGTAGTATACAAGCTGACTCCATTCAGCAATTTTTTATGGTTCAATGCTTTTTGGTAACTGTTGTCCCTGTTTCATTAGAATTCACCAATTTAGAGTTAGTAAAGCCTTATGTAAAGTATCTCTGGGAGTCTTCATATCCCCCTCATGTTTTATTAGCATCCCTTTAGAGTGTGAGTGATTAGATATTTTAACAATTATTTGTCCTGTAGGATTATATGGTATTCCTGTAATGTGCTATATGTTATGACATGTAAAAATTTGTTTCTCTTTACTAGAAACATAAGCAGGGGCATTATCAGCTTTAATTTTTATCAGAATATTATAGCCATTGTACCTAATAAATGAATAATTATACAATCAGTCTTTTTGGAACTTAAGGCAGATGTCTATTGAAATCCAGCGTATGTAATAATAGTATAATGCATTTATTTTATTTTTAAAAATTTTGTTACATGTAATACATCCATTTGTCAAGCTTTATTTTTTGAGCGTCCTTAGAATTACTTCCTGTATAAATAAATAAATATTAAAAAAAAAAGGGGGCTGGAGAGATGGCTCAGTGGTTGGGAGTACTGCCTGCTCTTCCAAGGGTCCTGAGTTCAATTCCCGGCAACCACATGGTGGCTCACAACCATCTGTAATGAGGTCTGGTGCCCTCTTCTGGCCTGCAGACATACACACAAACCGAATATTGTATACATAATAAATAAATAAATATTAAAAAAAAGAATTACTTCCTGTAGGTAAAGGAATTTGATTATATAAAGAACAAGTAGGACAGTTTTAAAAATAATTTTTTAGCTTGTCATCAGGTTATGAAATAATTTTTAAGCCTTTACTATTAACATTATGCTTTAAATGAAATTTTGAAGCTTTTAATACATTTTTATTAATACTTAATCAACCTCTTTATTTCCTTTTGTTAATGGCTCAGGCAATCCAGCATGGGGCTGAATGGGAGAAAGATAAAGTGGGCAATCCCTTTCCCAGACTGCCTGTTGTAGTTCTATAAATAACAAAGTTAATTCTGAATTATCAAGAATAAATTCCTTCTGCATATTGAGAATCAGTAGTTATATTAAGATATCCATTTGGGCACCAGGTGTTCTGTGTTGTATGGGTTGGCTGAAGAAAGGTCGCTCCAAGATGAATTCCTTAGGCCTGTGTGGCGACAGGGAGGGACAGTGTCTGATGAACTGAGCCTCAAACAGCCGTTCAAAGGCAATATTATTGACTATCACACACAGTTGCTTTTTTTTGGATAAACAAGTTCCTTATACCAAAGTCCCTGATCTAATCTACTCATCTTTTCTGAATGAAAGCATCGCATCCCCACCACTCTAGTCCTTACTGTGTACCATGTGCAGTGCCCAATTATCCGAGAGCCTCGGGTGTGCCAGAAGTGTCTTGTGGTCAAAGCCACACAAGGGCTGTAAAGCTCCCTCAGAGAAACAATTCTATAAACCATGGAAAACATCACTGTTCTCACCATGATTTCTTCAAAGTACATCTAGAAAACAACTTTTCATTCATGCTTACCCTAGATACAGTGACTCTGCTGGATCCCTATAACAGAGAGAAAGATGGGGGGAGGGAGGGAGGGAGGGAGGGAGGGCATTATAAACCTCAAAGTCTACCCCCAGTAACACCAGCAACAAAGCCACACCTCCTAATCCTTCCTAAACAGTTCCACAAACTGGGGCCAGAGTATTAAAATATGTAAGCCTGTGCAGGGGATATTCTCATTGAGATCACTACAAAGGTAACCTTGGATTCACAGAGGGGGCGTTGGACCAGGGTAGGATGATGTACGTCTTCTTCCAGTGCTGCTGCCTGTCCCCACTACTCTGAGGAGGATTGTCATAAAAGTACTTTCTCAATACCGTCTCTTTGAATTTCAACAATGTCCTTAGTTTTGAGTCTCCCGGAAGCTCTGGCTATCTGCAGTGACTGCCTATCCCCACCAGGGGGAGACCAGCTCCCTGAGTCCTGACTGTAGTTGCCTCTTTGAAAGTGACTCATTTATATAGGGTTTGCTTCCCCAAAGTGCAATTGTTTCTTGACGTGACAACTGCTCTCTCTTGAAGTCCCAAAGGAAAGGGGGTGAGGCCAAGAAGCCTCGAAGAGCTTGGTGTTTTTATGATCTTTACTCTGTTCTATAGAATCCCACCCTGGGCCAGCTCTGGGGACACTTGGGTTTTGTCGTTGTTGGTCTGAAGCTTAGCCCCGTAGAGGGTTGAGGGGTAACAGAGCCAAGTGCCTAAGCATGCAGAAGACTTCGGCTATGGTGACCAGGGAACAGGAGTTAGTGGTCCCGTGGCGGGTGGTCCGGTGCTAAAATGGGCAGGTCATGGTAGAACTGCCAGGTGAGAGATCCAAAGTCTTCTGGTGGCTCAGTCTGTGTTCACTGCTCAAGTCATATGGTGGGGCAGGATCACCTACTGCCCAGTGATTGCTGGCCCCTGACCTCTGATCAGACACACCCATGTAGGGGCAATAAAACCCTAAGCAGCCAGGGTTGGGAGAAAGAGGACCGGGCACCTGGAGACTGGGATCCGCAGCTTCTCCACTCGCCTAGAGCTTCTCAGCACTGAGAAGGAGCGCCAGTCATGAAGAGGTGATGTCATGGCCCCCAGGCTCTAACTTTCCTACCCTTAAAAGTTGTCAGTGGGGCACTGGCCAGGGTGGGCCTGGATGTGTGGTTAGGATCACCCTGGGTCTGAGTTCAGGAGTTCTGGCTTAGAGATAATCCCTGAGGGTTAGTCTGTCCCCATTTGAAGCCTGATTCCAGGGGAGTATCTCAGGGGAAGACGGGAAGGAAGGAGGGATGGGAGGGAAAGCTCCCCCCCTTTACGGCAAAACACTCACTCTGGGTCTTCAATTCAGGGTTTATCTCTAAGAGCATCCCAAGTGGCCTCCAGATAGGCAGGAGGGTGAGTTGTCCTATGGGGTCCCTGAGCCAGTAGACCATTCAATCCTAAAGGACCCCTATGAAGAGGCAACAATTCCAGGCTGTGATGGCCCAAAAGAAAGGGGACAGCCGGGCGATGGTGGCGCACGCCTTTAATCCCAGCACTCGGGAGGCAGCGGCAGGCGGATCTCTGTGAGTTCGAGACCAGCCGGGTCTACTGAGCTAGTGCCAGGACAGGCTCCAAAGCCACAGAGAAACCCTGTCTCGAAAAACAAAACAAAACAACAACAACAAGAAAGGGGACAGTGGCAGGGTAGGGGAGGCAGGGAATATGTAGCAGCCTTGGAGGGCCCGTGGGAGTAGAGGCAGGAATCAAACAATCTGATTGTTGGTCACCCTGGAGCTAGGGTTTCATTCCCAAGGAGACCTAGGGCCCCTGTAGGACATGAATCATCACGGAGGCAGAGGACAGAGAGGACAAAGGCTAGGGTGAGGTTCTCCATGTTCATCTCTCTGCCCAGCATAAGAATAGGCCTCTGTCTAGCAGTTCTGAGGTGAGACAGGGCTACTCAACCCTATGTGGCCAGATCCTCACCTGCTGTCCTTTATCCCTGTCACAAAGTGCTGAATTGCAGAGAAGAGGAAAGGTTTCTCTTCTCTTCTCTTCTCTTCTCTTCTCTTCTCTTCTCTTCTCTTCTCTTCTCTTCTCTTCTCTTCTCTTCTCTTCTCTTCTCTTCACTTCTTGTCTCTTCTCTCCTCTCCTCTCCCCTTCCTTCACCTTTCTTCTCCCCCTCCTTCCCTTCCTTTCCCTTCCTTTCTCTTCCCTTCCCCCCTCCTTTCCCTTTCTTTCCTTACCTTTCTTTTATTTTTTCTTTCGAGACAGGGTTTCTCTGTGTAGTCCTGGCTGTCCTGGAACTCACTCTGTAGACCAGGTTGGCCTTGAACTCACAGAGATCCATCTGCCTCTGCCTCCCAAGTGTTGGGATTAAAGGCATGTGCTACCACTGCCTGGCTGAGAGGTTTCTTTGAGGCTTTAGTACACACAAACACACAGACACACACACACACCACGCACATGCATGTATACATATGCATACCATATAACACAAACACATGCATACTTCACACAAATGAATACCTTTCTACAACTACATGTTCAGGAATACCTGCCATTCCTTCTGTTTGTATGATGGGGCTGGGGCTACTGGCCACTGGGAGCCTACTAGAAGTTACCCTATCCTCAGTACCATGGGTCATGGATTCTCAGGGGTACTGTGATACGTATGGTATTGTGCTAGGGCCTCCATCCATTCTGCTAATGTTGTCATGCATACATGTATGCAGGCCCACGTGTGTGTCTGTGTATGGCCTCTGAAATCCTCGGCACTGACTGCCAGTGTCCTGTCACATAGGATCTGCCTATGGCATGTGGTGTCTTGTGGAGAACTTGGCATCGAGACATAGAGCAGGCTTGCCCTGAGCATCTTGTTTGCTTACTCTGCCTGCCTTTCTTGATTGTGAAAACAATCAAGAGCTAATGGATCAGCAGGGACCTCCCCTTGATCCCTCTGCCCAAGACACAATGCCACCAGCCCCAGCGGGTCTTGACTGGAGCATCAGGAGCTGAGGTGATTCTTCACCACTCACATTTTCTCTCTGGTCCCCCAGGTTTCTCCTGGCCACCTGTATGGTGGCTGTGCTGCTGCAGGAGGCCGGTGCAATCCCAGCACGCCAGGTATGCGGGGCTCCTCTACCTGGCCCCATCCCTGGCTGCCCACCTCTGCCCCAGTTAGCGGGGAATATTGGAAAGGACCTCTTTTCCTCTACCCCATGCTGGGCAAGGAGAGGAGAGGCAGGGCAGAGGCTACATGCTAATGTGGTAGCAACATCTTGTGAGCACTGAGGAGGGGGCCTCAGGAAGAGAAGGGTATGGGCCCTTCTAGGGTCTAGTGAGCAAATCTCCATGACACCCAGGTTACCAGGTGTGGATATGGGCTTCCATAATATCCAGGTGACCTGAAGAACATGGGTCTCCATCATACCCACATAACCACATGGGGATGTGAGCCTCCATGACACCCAGGTGACCCCAGGATGAGTGAACATGGTCCTCCATGGCACCCATGTTACCAGGCGAGGACATGAGTTCCTGTGACACTCAGGTGGCCCCAGGGTGGGAGGGTATGGGCTTCATGACACAGATGATTACAGGTGAGGACATGGATGTCTAAACCATCTAGGAAGACCCTGTGTGAGGTGGGTCTTCTCCACACTGACCCTGAAATACTCACTGAGGGCCCAGAAGGAAATGAACTGAGCTTGCCCTGTGCCAAGCCCACTCGGCCTGCACACATGGCAACAGACGAGGTTGAGGGAGGCCCACCCTTCACAGCCAACCACAGCTTCTTGGAGCTGGGCACTTCCCTAAGGTCGCCCTTTGCCTCACTTCTCTCCTGTTACTTTGTCTCATAAGGTGTTACGTTCAGAAAAGCCAACTACCTTCTGGGCCAGGTCAGGGAGGGGCAAGCACAGCCCTAATTGGTGCAAAAGTTCAGGGTGTAGTGAGGGTGCAAAGTCCAAGGTGAGTTCCGGGTACCTGCTGAAGGATTCTACTTTCTTCAGGCCAGGTTTTCAGGTAGACTGGCCATTTAGGGACAAGCTGGTGTTCTAAATCCCCTACCTGCAATCTTGATATCCACAGTGACCCTTATCCCTTAAACACTGGTTGAGCGGAAGCCCTGCCTGTGGGTGGGCCTCAGAGTGGCCTCTCCCTGGGTGTCCTCCAACCTTGGACTACTAACTGGAAAAATCCCCACCCATGACCTACTCTCCTAGGTCCCTGTCAAGACCAAAGGCAAACATGTGATTCTTGAACAGGAAACAGAGAAGTAAGTGCTCCAGAAGGCAAGTGTGGGCTGATACACTGGGGGATGGAGAACATGGCAGTTCAGAAGCTTTGAGAAGGAGTTGATACTCAAATCCTACAGTTCCCTCCTTGGGAGTCCCCCCCCCAGGAGCCCCAGGTTGTCTCCCAGGGAACCCTGGGTATCTCCCAGACTCAGCTCTCCCTGAAGCCTGCAACGGACTAAGTTTTAGAACAGCACAATATATTACCTCCCTTGTCCTTGAGGACCCTGCCCAGGGAAGGCTCTGACCCCCTCAGACCTCACCCCTGCACCTACTACATTAGAGACACTAATGGGGGCGCAAAGCCATGTACCAGGTCTTACAGGGCAGTTGATGAAGTGGGTGGGTATGGAGTGGCTTCTAGACCCGGCAGCTGCCTAGGGGCAGAGAATGTGTTCTAAAGTGTCTAACTTTTCCCACCTGTGTGTGAACCTTACCCTACTCATGCTGGCAGTGTGTTGGGTACCAAAGCCATGGAGGCCCTGGAGAAGGACAACCAGTTGGGGGCACTACTGCTTGTGCCCAAGCAGAAGCTTGCATCCGCTGAGGAAAAGCTTGCAGGTCAGAGTGGGACCAAGGCCACATCATGGGGTCCAACTGTATAGGAGGCTAGTGGGGAGGAACTTGTGAGGGAGACTGAGGCCACACCTACTTCTGCCTCTTCCCAGATGCCATGACCTTGGTGAAGACTGAAGAAAAAGACCTCCTGAGCCGTTTTCGGAACCCTCTTCAAGGCCCAGAACCGGATCTTGACAGCCTCCTCCATCCGAAGTATGAGGAGGTCCAGGATGAAGCGGTGCCCCGGATGTTGCTCAAGATACATCGTCAGGTGCTCCAGGGGCCAGAGGAGGACCTTGACCACATCTCCCACTCTCTGGAGGACTCCAGCAAACCCTAACCACTCTCCCACTCCTGTCATGAGGCCCAGGCTGTTATGACCACTGACTCCCCGCAGCTAGCAAAAATAAACACCTGCAAACAGGGTGAAGCTATGAGCATCTTTGAGGCCAGCAATCCCGGGGCACAGCAGCTAGGCCCAGGAGGAAGAGGTATCACTGCCAAATATGGCTCATCCAAAGCTTCCTAGGCATAAGGTCTAGCTGACCCTCAGCTCATGAAAAGTTCTCCTTGGGTCCATCTTTCCACAGGTAGGGATGAAGTGATAAGCATGTCAAGAGTCAAGTGTGGGGACCAGTAAGCAGTTGTAGACTCAGCAGGGAAATGAAACCTATCCTGGAATTCCCGCTGAAGAAGCTGAGAAAGGACATGTTTATGAACGCATGGGAGGTTGGGTGGAACTCTGGTTGGTGAGTGTTCATAGTGAGTGAACATAGGCACATAGTTTCACATGTGTATAGGTACACACATGCAGAAATGCATAGCTAAATGTGCAGACACATAGGCACACACATGAATAGGTATGTAGTTACAAAGATGTATGCAGGCGGTGCACAGGTGTATAGTTACACAGGCACATAGGTCCAGTGGTGGACAGGTACATAGGTTCGCATATACACAGGTATAGAGCTGTGTAGCTATGCGTGTGCTTGGGGACATAGGCAGATAGATACACGGGTAAACAGGTGGACACACATGTAGGTGCTCAGAAGAGTGAGTCAGAGCTCATACTTCCTGTCCTAGTTTTCCGGGCAGCACCTGGATCTTTCTGGGGTGCCTGTCCACATGGCCTTGCTCAGGCCTAAGCACCTAAGATGAACTACCTCACACGTGGCATACAGGTACTGGGGTAACTACCAATCCTACCCTTGCAGTGGGAGGCACTAGGGGCCACAGAGCCACACATTTGTCAGCCCCAGTAGCTCAGGCAGAACAGACAGCTTAAGAGAGGTCATCAGCTCTCCATCCCAATGCACCCAAGCCCCATGCAGCTATGTAGTTATCTATCAGTCTCACGCACTCTAGAGCTTCATGGATGTTTCATGTCCCCAAAACATGAGTGGGAGGAGTGAGGGTTCGTGTGCACCCAGACCTCTAAGCCCCACGAAGCAGGAGCCAATGCTCCATCTCAGCGATGAACCAGGGGTCTTCATATTACTTGAGTCTACTGCCCCCACATTGCAGAGGAGTACACATTGTAGATGAATCTAGGCCCCTACATTACAGTCAAGTCCAGGGTCCTGAAGATGAATAACATTGCTCTGACAGCTGGACGATGGTGGCGCATGCCTTTAATCCCAGCACTCAGGAGGCAGAGGCAGGCGGATCTCTGTGAGTTCGAGGCCAGCCTGGTCTACAAAAGCTAGTTCCAGGACAGGCCTCAAAGCCAAAGAGAAACCCTGTCTCGAAAACAAAACAAAACAAAACAAAACAACAACAAAAAACAACCAAAAAACAAAAACACACAAAAAAAAACAAAAATAAAAAAAAAAACCCATTGCTTTGATAGTGACCTCAAGGCGCAGCCCTCATCTCCCAGTGCGCTGCCTGCCATCCTAATAAGAATCTGACTTGAAATGAATCTATTTACAGTCCCTAATCAGCAGAGCAGAGGTGCCCAAATCCTATCCAGGTCCCAGGTAGAACCAAATCCCACATAAGGACACCCAAGTGCTCTCCTTTCTTTCTTTATCACTTCTGGCCCCTAGCCTTATCTAGAGATTCAGGTGCAGGTGGTCAGGAAGCAGTGCCCAGTGAGTCTCTGCCCAGTGCCCATGAGGTCAGACCCATGGTCAAGATTTGAGCTGTTCCGCCTTCACATCCCTGAATCTAAGCAGAGGACCTGCAGATGCTGGGGTTCCAAGAGCCCAGTGTTGTATTGGGACCAAAAGTATCTACTGACCCAGGGTAGTGCTATGGCCAGGTTTCTTTCTAGCTTTGCCCGAGCCAGGAACCTCTGTGGGCATTTCCTCCTAGAGGGGAACTGGGGCTGGAGATAGCTCAAAAGTTAACAGCGCTTGGGCATCATAGGGACTGTCTACTCACCTGCTCAACTTTTGGTTGTTTGCAGCTTTTGGCCAGTACAGACGAAGCTGCTATGAACATTCCCCAATAGTCTGCAGACATGTGGTGTAGACACATCCAGGTTTTCGCAAGGGAAACTGTTTCAGGCCCTTCTAAGTTCCTCCCCTCCAACCTTGCTATTTCCGTCTGCGATTCTGAGCCCCAATTGATCCTTTACCACCCGGGACAACTGAAGAGTCAAAGTTAGGAGCAGCCAGGTTGCATCTGAGTTCCTGGACTTAACAGCTGCTCAGGCATAGGTAGTGTGTCCTCAACCTGCCAAGTATAAGCTTGGTGGGCTCCAGTCCACACCCAGACCTCTCTGACCTTGAACCAGGAAGGTCAGCATGACCCTCCCTAGCAGCTGAGCAGTCATCTCTGGTGTCAACATCCTTCCATTTAAAGTGTCCAGTCCAACTCTGCCACTTTGCCCTCTGGCCTAGAGTTCAGAGATTGGCCCTAGTCACGAATCACTGTGTGTTGCAACCCAAGTGAGGAATTCAGAAACTCCCAATTCCCACAAGCATCATGTGCAGCTGCCTCCAGTCCCCTGCTGTGCAGCGCACCCAACATCAACTACCAGCTTAGCTCTTCGTCTAGACCCAGGCCACAGCCACAGACCCAATTCAGCTCTCAGGTTCCTACCCAGGCCTAGCTCCTGTCCAGCTCCCAGCCCTCAAGCAACCTCCAAGCTTCATATTCCATACAGATTTTCCACCTGAGGACTCAACAAAGATGGGTAGTGGGTGCTTATTTGGAAGTTAATGGCCTCCCTGGAACTGACCACAAGACAAGTTCATGAGTACAAAACCTTTAAAGATTGACAGTGACTTCTCTCCGCACCCCCTCAATTTCACATATCAGGGGAGGGGGGAAATCTCTGTCAGGGTCAGCAGAGTCTCTCAAGATCTGGGGTCCAGGTCTGAGTGGTTCCGGTGGTCTCTATGAGGGTCCGAGGTCCAGTGTTCCCTTCTTGAGGATGATGTTTCCATAGAGTGCCGTCTCCCTGCCGGAGGGTCAGGGTGCTGAAACTCTAACTTTGCCCCTTTCTACTTCTATCCCTCCTGCTCAACAATGTTCAGGAACTCTGCAGCACAAGTCCCTCCTGTCTTCCTGGGCAGAGCAGAGGTGGAGGCAGTTCCCGGGGCCTGGATAAAGACTTGCCCAAGTCACCTGGACGCGGTAGAAACTCACCCGGTTGCAACAACAGCAAAAGCTTTTTTTGCACGTTCATAAAACTCAAATCTCTCTATCTTCATCAGAGCTTTCTGGAAGACAAAATGGCACGGTTGGAGGGACCTTGCCCGAAAGTCCTCTAGGTGGATTCCTGAGTTGAGTACCCCACCAGGAAATAGCTAGGAGGTAGCAGCAATGGAACCCTGCTCTTCTAGGTTCTATTCCTCTGGTTCTCCTGATGCTGGGGTCTCATGGAACTGGGGACAAAGGGCATCTTTCATATCCCTGTCTGAGCCTGTGACAGACAAGGTGCCTATTGGATGTGGACTCAACTCACTAAGTCTCTGGAAAGTGGTTCTCAGTCTTCCCGATGCTGTGACACTTTACTACAGTTCCTCATGTTGTGGCGACCCCAACCATAAAATTATTTTCATTGCTACTTCATAATTGTAATTTTGTTACTACTATGAACCCTCATGTGAATATCTGTGTTTTCCTATGGTCTTTTTTGGGTTGCAAGCCACAGGTTGAGAACTGTTACTCTATATCCTCTAAACTGCCCTGGAAGTCCCCCACACAGGTTGGTCCTGCTCAGGCCCTGCCAACAGCTCCTTTAGGAGAATGGGTGTGTCCTCTGCCAGGTAGGGATGTAGACTGTGTGATATGCAGACCTTAGCAAGAATGAAGTGGCAAAGAGTAAGATTTGGGGTGAAGGTGCACATCCATTGAAGTCCAGAGAGGGGCCCACCAGGCAGCCCACAATCCTCTGGCTCAAATGGGACCAACTCCCAAGCAGACAGGTCAGGATTCTGGGAGGAGGAGGAAGCAGAAGAGGCTTGAGCGGAGAGGGAGGATGCTCAAAGGGAGGTGGCCACAGGCTCAGATACACCTCTGGCATCTGTACCCCCATGATTGACTCTTCCCGAGCCTCCAGGAGACAGAGGGGCCCATTCTCGGGGCTGTACTCACCTTGCAGCCTGCTGTGAGCAGAAGGGATTCATAGAGGTTCCATATTGGGGTCTGCAGGCCCCTCTCCTTGTCGCTGGGCACTAGCTCCATCACAGCAGCCTGGGGAGACAGGGGTCAGCTCTGTGGCCCTAGGCACCTCCAGGGTTCCCCTGAGACAGGAGGCCCTTTAAGGGTGTGGGGTCATATGAAGTCTGGCAAAGAGGAAACTGAGGCCCAGCTCAGCGCACAGCTTTTGCTCCTCACCGGGCTTTCCACATAGGTATCCAGGGGCAGCAGCTTCAGCACAGCCTCCAGGAGCTGTGGGATGGCCAGGCCTAGGAGGACACAGAGCTGGGGTCAGGCCTCTGTTCTCATCACGACCTGTAACCCCGCCTGTCTCAAACTTTCATTTTGGGTCAGAGTAAGCAACCAGTTAACAGGAATGAGGGGCCAGGACAGAGAGGGCACATAACCAGGACCGGGTCGATATCTACAGTGCTCACCATCTGCTCGGATCTCTACGGGTCCGCACTGGCAGATGGAGGAAGTTGGGAAGTTTGCATCTGCAAGAACTGAAGGGAGAGAAGGTGGTGTGGTTCTCCCTCCCAGATGATCACCTCACGTATCGCAAAGCCACACATCCTTGTGTATTATCAACACAGTTCACCGTCTGGGATGTCCACGTGCCCGGTCAGTATATCCTTCCCACTCCAGTTAGTGGGGACAGATCATGGGTCACTCCAATAGCTCCCTTCAGAGCAGCAGAAAAAAAAAGACACTATATAAAGGGGGCAATGAAACCAGTGACTGGGAGGAGGAACCAATATTCTCACCCCAGCCTTTGGCGGTCAGGTCTTGTCCTAGGGCACCAGGCCAGGGCCAGAGAATCCAGCAGACCTCTGGGCAGCCTGGGAGACCACGTGGGAGGTCTGGGAACTATCTTGCTGCTGAATTTGGAACCTGGTTTGCCCTTTCCAGAATTCTGCGGCCTGAGCCAATGGTAGGCTTCAATTCAGCTTTTTTCTGAAGCAACCGGATGCTTCCTGTTCTGAAGAGCAAGGTGACGTAGTGTCCCAGGCATTCCTGGACCCTGCCGGTCAAGGGCTCCCCGTGCAGACCGCACCACTGCTAGAGGCTACGCTGCGGACTTGGCTTTCTACAAGCTCACCTATCTCGTCTCCGTGACCCATCCGAGCAAGTGCGAATAGCAGCTCCGGCGACAGCACCTTCGGGATGCCCTTGAGCACAACCATGGCCGCAGAACTGGCGGAGTTGGGGGACAGGGCGGTGCCACACGGATAGGGGCGGTGCCAGAGGCGAGGTGGATCCAACCGCTGGATAGCTGTGTCTGGCCCTGGGTAACGACGTAAAACTCTGAGGCCTGGCAGATTGTGGGAAAGTTCAGAGAGCAAATCCGTGTGCGGAGGATAAAAATGCCGGAGAAGCACCCTTGGCCCTAGGATCTCTGGTGCCCCAGCTCAGACGGCTCTGATATGGCCACTGCTGCCCAGCTTGGTGGCAGTGATGAGTGAAGGGTGAGAAATAACATTTCTGCTTCAGTTTGCAGGCAAACCAGGATAGAGGCAAAACCAAATCAAAATCCCCAAATTGTACTGGGGCCAGAAACCAAATAGTTTAAAGAAGCTGAGAGCTTCATCAGGGTTTGAGGAAGCGCCTTTTGGGGGACAATCTGCATACACTCTATTGTCTTGAACTCTCTGAAGCCAAGGGTATGGTGGGTTCCTGTCCGGCCAGGGTGGAACCAGTGAACTTAGTGCGCGCCCGCCCCGCACGTCGCCCCCCCCCCCCACGTGTCTGGGTGCCCAGAGTTAGGACAGAATCTCCCTCCGAACATCTTAAACACTGTTTCAGTTTTCAGGACAAATGACTGAGGTGTATGCTCAGTGCACGAACGAAAATTAAACCAGCGAGAGGTTGGAGAGATGGCTCAGTCGGTAAGAGCATGGGTTGCTCTTCCATAGAACTGGGGTTTGGGGGCTCACAACTATTTGTAACTCCAATTCCAAGGGTTTTATCGGCCTCTTCTGGCCTCTGAGTCATCAGGCACAAATGTGGTACACAGACATAATTGCAGGGACAACATCCATACATATTTTTAAAGTTAAAAACAATTAACTAATGAACCAATTAACTTGGTTTCAAGGTTTCTCCTGTCGAGTGGTCACCTCCTTGGCTTGTGCATTCTAGACTGTGGGCCAATCAATGGCTAACATACACTTCTCTGAGTGCCAGGTTTATTAAGTGAACATTAGGACTGGAGAGATGGTTCAATGGCTAAGAGCACCAGCTGCCCTTCCTGGACCTGGGTTTAATCCCCAACACCACAACTATCTGAAACCCCAGTCTCAGGGACTCCAATGTCCTCTTCTAGTGGGAGAGCGGGGTTTGCCAGGAGAAAGGCCCTGAGACTTGGGTTCCAGAATAGGAAGCTTTGATTGAGAGACAGTGTGGAGTGATCACACCAGTTACCATGGTCTGGGCTGTGTATTAACTTCATAAAACAAACTTTGAATACTTGGAAATAATGTATGTTTTAATCTAGAGTTCAGATAGGCCTCAACTGTCACCCCTCCAACCCCTTGTTTGTTTGTGTCAGGATCTCACTATGTAGCCCCAGCTGGCCAGAAACTTGCTCTGTAGATCAGAGTGGCCTTGAACTCAGCGATCTGCTGGCCTTGCTGCCTGAGTGCTGGCTGGGACTAAAGACCTCCCCTCTCTCCGCCACTACCTGCATCTTATGCAGATGCCCTGAGGCTCGGAACTGGAGAGTGCTCTCTGCAGATCTCCATTCTCACACTGGCAGGGGCTGGAGAGCAGCCCTGATGTTATATTGCCACAGCAAATAGACGGCCATTTCCCCACACTGAAGCTCCGGGCAAAGCAAATATCAGGGCTAGTGCAGGTCACTGTCATACTGTCTGTCCATTTCAGCCCAGACAGTGAGAACCTGGACACTGTCAATATGTATGACCTGGCTGGGGATGGTGGCATACAACTCTAGTCACAGTTATCATGAAGGCTGGAACAGGACTGTCCACAGCTCAAGACAAATATATATTGAGCAATATATTAAGATGGCTTCAAAAAATATCTATTACATTACTGTGAGAATGGCAAATCCCCACGTCAGCATAAAACATCAGGCTTTTTCTGTTTGTTTTGTTTCAGTATGTTTTGTTTCAGTTTGTTTTTTTTCAAGACAGGGTTTCTCTGTGTAGCCCCAGTTGTGCTGGAACTCAGCCTGTAGACCAGGCTGGCCTTGAACTCACAGAGAAGCATCTGCCTTTGCCTCCTGAGTGCTGGGATTAAAGGTCTGCATCACCACTGCCTAGCAAACATCAGGCTTTAAGCAAATGTACCACATCATGAATGAACTCAGACAGTATTTGTTTAGGCTTCAACATGCTTCAACTTAAAGGCTTGTTGTTCTGGCCTCTGTAGTTCTAGAGGCTAGAAGTTGAAGCAAGGCAGATGTGCTGCCTGGTGAAGACAGACTTCCTGGCTCGCCTTCTCATTTCATCTTCACAGGGAAGGGGTTGCAGGCACTCCCTTGGGGCCTTACAGACTCTCGTATGAGCTCCACTCACCTAGCATTCTAAACCCACCACTTTTAGGATTTCAACACAGGAGCTCTGGTGGGGGATGCTGTTCATAGCCTTGTGCAAGCGAAATAAAGACAAAAGAACAAATACTCTTAATTCCACTCATGAGGAACCTGGAGTCATCACATTCTCATAGAAAGTAAAAATGCTGGTGTAATGGTTCTGTCCCTTTAAAAGACAAGCCCCGCCCCCTCTTTCCCCCCTCCCCTTTCCATCTGCTGAGGCAGGCAGATCTTCCTTCTGCCTCCATCCTGTCTTTCCTTTCCCTCTTTCTCCAGAAGAGGCAGTTTCTGCCTCTTTCCCTTCTTCCCACCTCTCCCCTTCCCCCGTTTTTCTTTCTCTCTCTGCCTCCCCCCTCTCCCCTTCCCTTCCATAACCCACTAAATAAATATCCAACCTCACTCTGCATGATGTGCCTATCTGTCTCGGTCTCTTACCCACCATGCAGCTCCCTGTCTGGGACCACTGCTCCTTGTGGCCTGCTGCCCACTGCAGCCACTCCGAGACCTGCGGTGTTTTATTTTTACCATAACAACTGGTGCCAGGGGCTGGGGGGGGGGTAGGGAGTCAGTGTCTAACAGAGACAGTTTTAGCTTGGGAAGATGAGGTTCTGGAAACTAATGGTGGGATGGCTGCACACGTATATGAAAGTGCTTGAAGGTGTACTCAGATGTGGTTAAGATGGTGAAGTTAAAAACACACAAATAGCCGCCAGGTGGTGGTGGCGCACGCCTTTAATCCCAGCACTCAGGAGGCAGAGGCAGGTGGATCTCTGTGAGTTTGAGGCCAGTCTAGTCTATATTGTAAGTTCCAAGCAGCCAGGGCTACATAGTGAGGTGCTATCTATAAGAAAATAACAGCAATACGAATTAGAAACCACATTCATTCTCCAGAGACAACTATAGGTCAGCTGAAACTGAACTGACATAGTTGCTTTAATTGAATTATTGTGCACTTGGAATCAGCAGACAGGGCAGGGTCACTTCCCACTTGAAGCCACATCCTGAGCTGTGCTCTGTTGACACTGTTGACAGCACACAGGGGTATGTATGGGTGGCCCAAGCATGTGCCTGCCTCTCAAGTGAAGTAAAAAAATAAAAAATAAAAAAAAATAAGAAATCAAGACACCTTGAACGCTTCCCAGATTTCTGATTTAGACTGTGAGAGATTGACTTCCAACACTGGGGAAGGTTGCAGGCCACACCACGGGTACCTGAGCTGTGGTCACAGCTCCGAAGACTTTGGTAGGAACTGTGGCCTACACTACCCATTAGGACAATTTATTTGCCTTTCAATTGACAGGCTAAGCTTTCCTCTCCAACATGGCACAAGGCTCAGCTGCCAGTTCTCAGTGGTCTTTGAAGTTGGCCTTCCTTTTCTCCACAAATGCAGCCATTCCTTCTCTCCGGTCATCCTGGAAGGAAAAGGAAGAAGGGAGGTGAAGTCTGCATCTTCCTATTGGACCCCTGGATGACTGCCTGCATCTCCAAGGTCTCTTATGTTCTCCTCCTTGCCTGGTTGCCAAGCTCATTGACAGGGCAGTGATTCTGCAATGGGCCCACCTGCTGCCCATGAAAGATGGTATTCTCCACACACAGTGCTATGCTTGGGGACGGGGGTGTATACCACACAGGACACGGTCCCTCAGGAGGCATGACAAGAGCACCAGTAAACCCGTGTCCATTGCACCTCTGGATTGGGCAGGGCGTGAGCTGGGACTCTTTCACAGAGCAGTGGGGCAGCAACAGAACTCTGCTTTACACCTCCTCTTCCTTAGCCTGTGGACACATGATGTGCACACTTCTTCACTTCTTCCTCAGGGGCCCGAACCATTTAAAATCTTTTTTTTTAATTTTTAAGAGAGCGTGTGTGTGTGTGTGTGTGTGTGTAAGTGTGTGAGCGCGCGCACACGCGTGTGCTCGTGCATGCATGCAGACAAGTGCAGGTGCAACACAGAGATCAAAGGTGTGGTATCTGGAGCTGGAGTGGCAGGTGATGGTGAGCCAGGTGATGTGCATACTGGGAAGTGAACGCAGGTGCTCTGGAAGAAGAGTACATGCTCTTAACTGCTGAGCCAACTCCCCAGCTCCTTAAATGCGTGTGTGTGTGTGTGTGTGTGTGTGTGTGTGTGTTTTGTGTTAATAAAACACCTAACGCTGGGACAGTGGTGCAATGGATAGTGCATCTGATAATCAGAAGATTCTTGATTCTTTCTTTTTTATCTTTGGTTTTTCAAGACAGGGCTTCTGTGTGTAACAGTCCTAGCTGTCCTAGAACTAGCTCTTGTAGACCAGGCTGGCCTTGAACTCACAGAGATCCACCTGCCTCTGCCTCCCAAGTGCTGGGATTAAAGGCACGCGCCACCATGACTGTTGATCAGAAGATTCTTTAAAACACCTAGACATGACCTTCTGATAAGAGGTGAACCATAGCCAAACAGGATACCACACTCCTTTAATCTCAGCATTCAGGCAGGCAGAGCTCTGTGAGTTCAAGGCCAGTCTGGTTTATATAGTGAGTTGCAGGTGGTCAGGACTACATAATGAGACCCTGTCTCAAAGTAAGTAAACAAAGAAAATAAAAAAATAGGGGTTGGTGGTGGACAGCAGTTAAAAGCACTGCTACTCTTGAAATGGGATCTGGATTTGGTTCCCAACACTTACACGGTGGCTCACAACAGTCTCTAACTTCAGTTTAAGGT